GTGGTATCTCCCCATGTGCGTGTATGCAGGAGGGACCTTCGTCTACGTATGCGGTCCCTTCCCTCCCTCTCACATGTGTGATGTATGATGGGATGTCGTAACAGTCCAGGTTAGGTCAGGACTTATCTCCAAATCTTCCGCTGTGCTATTAAATGCCATTGTTCATGTATCAGGATGTACACTGTCTGTTGATATTACGTTAGCAGTCCACTATCCATTCAGTCCTTTTCATCACAATGCGGATCCTTGGCTGAACTCTCAGTGCCCGACTGGGCATGTAACAGTTGGTACCGAAGCACCACACGTGAATCAGGACTACCTGATCTGACACGTGTACGGGGAGTTAGCTGGTGAAGAAGACTCGACTTAATTATTGGTTGGTTGAGCACACTAGTTAATCCCCAAAATCATGATTTGAATCCAACTGCCAAAAATCGAAATTTTTCTTTTTTTCTGGATTTCGTTTTTCCGTTATTTCTGATTGTGGAAAAATCGCAGTAGCACAACTCCTGAAATTTTTGTTGTCTTGTTGAAATTTCTCTGTTGGAAATCGAGAATATCTCTTTTTGAAAATCTCGATTTTGCAGTTTCCCGTACTTCAAAAAATTTGGAATATTTTTTTCGAAGTTCATTTTTTTTCAAAACGGTACGAGAAATCTCTCTGGCAGTACTACTTTCCAAGCTGCGCATACTCTCATTAAAGCAAATCCGAATTTTTTTTCGTAATCATTTGCAGTCTGGAAGTCGAATTTTTTTCAGTTGTATTTCGTACTTCGGGGATTGGGGGAGCTTGCTGAACTTGCAAACAATTTTTTTTTTTTTTTTTCTCTTCGTCCCCTCAGAATTCTTTTCCAAAGTTCAACCTTTTCTGTTTTGATTAGCGGCTCCTTATCTGGGCGATCTACCCCACCCACCCTCCCTATCTACGTTGTTTGCCATCTCTGATCTCATCTTCTTCATCCATTCCGGGTATTCCCTGTGGTGACATTGGTAAGTTGCCACGTCAGCGGGCCACGTCAGCAGACCATGTCAGCAGACCACGTCAGCAGACCACATCAGCGGACCACATCAGCAGGCCACGTCAACAGGGAGTGCCACGTCAGCCACCCGGGCCTGTTTATGCTGACGCGCTCGCAGACAACCGTCATGGAGCAGAAACCGGGGGAAACGGTGGAGGCATATCAGGACCGCATGCTGGCTTTGATCATAGAAGCCAAGCAGCGGGCGGATGCAGTAGCAGCCGCAGAGAAGAAGAAGGCGGAGGATGTCGAGCAGGCACGACTGCTAGCTCTTGAATAGCAGCGTCTGCAGGCCGAGGCAGCAGCGAAGGCTGCAGATGAAGAACGATTGAAGCGGCGTGAGAAGATTTTCAGCGGGGAGCAAGCATTACTCACATTGGCAGCGGAATGGCGAACTGAGGCGGAGACAGGGAAGATGGAGGAGAGCGAGACCAAGATTGCCCTCCTCCTCTCCCATCTCACGGACCTCCTGGCGACATGCATCGCGCAGCAGGAGGACATTCACAGCCTCGATGCCGAAGTCAAGAGTGTTCGCAGCCGCGTACAGCAGCTAGAGCAACGACCAGCCGCCGCCCCTGTGGCAAGCTCCTCCAACACATCAGACCGCCTGGACGCATTGGAGACTGACATCAGCACACTCAAGGACGACACACGACTACAACAAACCGCTACTCAACAATTGGAGCAATGGGTCTGTGCTGCCGCAGCCAGCCCGAGTTCGGGACAGCGCGAGTCAACTCCCAAGTTTGACGGTCAGGAGATCTTCTGCGATTCAACAAAGACGGATCAAGTTCAGTGGTTCCACAAGTTTGAACTCACGTTGCAGCTGCACCTCGTCAGCCAATGCAAGCACCACGCATACTTATACTCCCGGTCGGGAGACGCATGCCAGGCATGGCTGGACAATCTCTTGTCCCAGTACGGGGTGGTCGCTGCCGAGTTACACACGAAGATCAACTGGGAAGACCTCAAGGCGGCGTGGCAGAAGCGGTTCCAAGTGGAGCCACCGGAGATCAAGGCCATGGACAAGCTCATGACCTTCGAGCAAGGCTCGCTGCCAAGCATCGACTGGATTGCCGAGTACCAACGCTTGACATCCGTCCCAGGTCTCCCGATGGGCTTCAAAGTCATCAAGCACTACTTCATTTCGAGGTCGTGCCCGACGTTGAACAACGCCTTGACGCATGTCGAGGACACACTGACAACGACGGCGCAACTGTTCGACAAGGCCGCACAAATTATCATCACGAACAAGGAGGCGAAGAACCTCACTCGTGTTGCGGCAGGCCCGAGCAAGGACCAGCATCGGCCCAAGGTGGTCGTGGTTGTGGCGGCATCGCCAAGCAGCCAATCTAGCGAGGCGGAGTCTGCCAATGAAGGAGACAGACTCACAGCTGCCCGGGATGGTGGCCGCCCAGGCCGAGGTCGAGGACGCGGCAAATCGAAGACAAACACCACATCAAACCCCGGGCCCGCGCGCAGCAGCTCAGGGGCCCTGGACCACCTACGGTCCTTAGGAGCAAGCTTACAAGCAACGCACGAAGTACCGTTACTACATGTGGTGCAACAGTGACTGCCACGAGACAGCGGGCTGCCCTACCAAGGGGAAGGGCAAGCAGGGAAACTGAGCGCCACCGAGAGTGAGTCGACGACACTCTCGACGCCTTCGGAACCGGTTTCTTCGCGAGTGACCGACCTTCATTCCGGGGTGCATGCGGAAGTCGACAGTCCTCTTCTCTATTCTTTTGAGGACTATGCTGCCCGGCTCGTTCCGGCGCTGGGATCTTTTGCTCAAGGACAAGACGTGTGTGCGGCATCTTCTCCGTCCGACAACGGTTCTTCTTCGTCTTCAAGTGGTTCTTCACGGGGTTCGGCGCGCGGGTTCAACATAGAGGAATTGGACCCGCTCAAGTCTGGGGATTTCGCATGGCTTCCTCTCCCGACCACGGGCCGCTTACCGGGACCGCAATGCGCAGCACTATGTGCCCATCTTCACAAGTACTTGTCCTTCTATGCACCACCAACTTCGCCGACGGATGACGAGGTCACGGTGGGGGACATCTTGGCATATGTTACCAAGGTGGCCCGCGAGTTTCGCACTCAGCGGTATGACGACAATAATGCACCGCTGATGTATGTCCAAGTTGGGCAGGCGTCCTGCAACGCTTTGCAGGAGAGCGGCGCGACTCGCAACTTCATGAGCCAAGCTTTTATGCAAAGGGCTGGCCTCGGCACGCAGGTTCGGAGGAAGGCAAACCTGACGGCGATCAAGTTGGCGGATGGAAAGACGCAGCAACTTCTCGACCGTTACATCGAGGCCGTACCGGTGTACTTCGCACCTCATGCATGCGAACCGGTCACGTTCGACATCTTGGACACGGACTTCGATATCATTCTGGGAATGCCTTGGCTTGCAAGTGCGGATCACACGGTCAACTTTCACCAGCGGACTCTCACCGTTTGCGACGCCTTCGGCGCCAAGGTGCCGTGTACTATTCCTCTTCCGCACCCTTCGATCCGGTGCCAAGTCGTGACGGCCAAATCGTTCCGAACTACATGTGCATATGAGCAACCCGAAGAGATAGGCCTATGTTTCTTGCGGACTAGCGCGGTAGCCGACTCTTCACCATCGGACTTGTCTTCGGACCCCCGCGTGGTACGGCTGCTTGATGAGTTCGCCGACATCTTCGAGTCATCTACCGGTGTGGTGCCGGATCGGCCGATCTCTCACGAGATCATTCTTGAGGACGGTGTCGTGCCACCGAAAGGTTGCATCTATCGGATGAGCGAGGAGGAACTGGAGGTCCTTCGCGCACAACTCAATGACTTGTTGGCCAAGGGCTGGATCCGCCCTAGCAGCTCCCCATATGGAGCACCAGTTCTCTTCGTAAGGAAGAAGAACAAGGATCTACGTTTGTGCATCGACTACCGCAAGCTCAACGCGCAAACTGTGAAAAATGCGGGGCCTCTCCCTCGTATCGACGATCTTCTTGAGCGACTGGGCGGTGCTAAGTTCTTTTCCAAGTTGGATTTGAAGTCGGGGTATCATCAGATTTCGATACGCCCGAATGATTGCTACAAGACCGCATTCAAGACGCGGTATGGGCATTCTGAGTGGGTGTCATGCCTTTTGGCCTCACCAATGCTCCTGCAACCTTCCAGGCGGCCATGACCCACGAGTTTCGTGCTATGTTGGATCAGTTCGTGCTGGTCTACCTAGACGACATTCTCGTCTACATTCGGACTCTGGAGGACCATCTTGAGCATCTTCGACGTGTGTTGGAGACGCTCTGCCGTGCCAAGTACCAAGCCAACCRCGACAAGTGCGAGTTTGTCCGGCAAGAGCTTGAGTACTTGGGCCATTTTGTCACACCAGAGGGCATCAGCCCGCTATCGGATAAAATTCAAGCCATCCAGGAGTGGTCGGAGCCGCGTAACGTCACGGATGTCCGTTCGTTTCTTGGTCTTGCCGGTTACTATCAGCGCTTCATCAAGGGCTATTCGAAGATCGAGGCCCACTTGACCAAGCTTCAACGCGAGGATCGGCCGTTTGACTTCGACGAGGATGCGCGGGAATCTTTCTTGGCTCTCAAAGCTGCACTTTTGTCAGCGGAGGTCTTGCGAATCTACGACCCGCTATTGCCCACACGCGCCACTACTGATGCATCCGGCTATGGTATTGGCGCTGTCCTCGAGCAACACGATGGCGTGGAATGACACCCGGTCGAGTATTTCAGCAAGAAGGTGCCCGCCGTGCACTCTATTGATGTTGTGAGGAAGAAGGAATTATTGGCCTTCGTACACGCACTCAACCGCTGGCGGCATTTTCTTCTTGTTAGACGGCAGTTCCGATGGGTAACGGACAACAATCCGTTGGTCTTTTACAAGACCCAGGACACACTCAACAGCACCATTGCCCGGTGGATAGCCTTCATTGACCAGTTTGACTTCTTCCCCGATCACATTCCGGGCAAGTCAAACTGTTTTGCGGATGCTCTTTCACGATGTCCAGACCATTGCACCGCCGTCTACTCGACTTTCGAGATTGATAACGACTTGCGGGACAATTTTATCCGCGGCTACCAGGTCGACCCCGAGTTCCGCGACAAGTACGCAAATTGTTCCTCGCCCAATCCGACACCTTCTCACTATCGGACCAGGAGGGATATTTGCTTGTCCACTCGCGGGGGAAGGATCTTCTTTGCGTACCGAGTGACCCTCACTTACGTACACGGCTTCTTGGCGAGTTCCACGATGCTCCCGCCACCGGACATTTTGGCGTCAATCGAACGATTGGCCGACTTCGCGAGCGATTTTGGTGGCCCGGTCTTCTCGACGACGTCACACGCTACTGCGAGTCATGCGAGATTTGCCGACGTTGCAAATCCCGCAATCATCGTCCGTATGGCGAGTTGCGACCACTATCGGTTCCCTTGCGCAGACGGGAGGCGATTGCCATGGATATCACTGGGCCATTCCCCAAGCACAAGACCGGTGTGGATGAGATTCTCACGGTAGTCGATCGACTCACCAAGTTTGCCATGTTTTTGCCTTGTCGCTATCATGCCAAGGCACCAGAGTTGGCTGAGGTTCTCTACGCCGGTTGGATTCGAACCAAGAGTTACCCCAAGGAAATCGTATGCGACCGCGACACTCGGTTCATGTTTGATTTTTGGTTGGCGCTCACCAAACGATGGGGCTCATCTCTCAAGCCTAGTTCAGCTCGCCACCCTCAAAGGGATGGCCAGACGGAGAGGGCGCACCAGACGGCACAGGTTCTCCTTCGCACTCTCATCCGTCCCGATCAGAAGGATTGGGTTGAGCGGCTGCCGGATGTCGAATTGACCTACAATTCGTCCATCCACCCGGCTATTGGGATGTCGCCTTTCGAGTTTGAGCATGGCTCTCCGGTCACTTCTCCGTTGGACACCATCGTTCCACGCACGGCCGAGAGCGACGACCATCTTATTTTCTTGCGTCGGATGCAAGAGCTTCTTGTCAAGGCACGCATCAGATGGCAAAAACGCAGCAACGCATGAGCCGGCAGGCCAATCGCCAGCGTCTTCCTTGTCCATTCCGCGCCGGCGACCTCGTGTGGGTTTCCGCCGCGGAATTCAGCCTTGAGCAGGATATCTCTCGCAAGCTCCTCCCGAAATGGATGGGGCCATGGCCGATTGTAGCACCTGCTGGGGATGCACCTTAGGGACCTTCCTTCACAGTTCAGGTGCCTGCCCACTTGCCCGTCTACCTGGTTTTCCATTGCTCCAAGTTGGCGTTGTACACACCAGCAGACCAGGATGACTTTCTCGGGCGACGATCGCAAGACCCACCCTCTATGGACGACTTTCAGGAGGTCGGTGACATCATTTTGCTACGACAACAAGCCGACCGAGTATCTGGTACACTTTGCATATTGCACCCACCGAGCCAACCGCTGGTTGACCCGTGCGGAACTCCAAGCGACAGCTCCATATGTTATCGTACGGTATGAACGAAAGATGCAAGGCAAGCCGGTATCTTCGGCTCCACGCCGCAACCGCGTCCAGGTTCCACCTTCAGATCGTCGGCTGCGCCCTCGACCCGGCTTGACTTCATAAGGAGGGGGGGGTGTTACATGCTGCGCCTGCACAGGAGGGACATTTTCCAGGCCCTGCGTCGTTCAGGCTGGAAGCCTGAATTTCGGGCTCAAGGCCTGGAAATAAGGGTCTGCAGACCCCATGACGGTTCACCCCAAAAGCCTGACATCCGGGGCCCA